AACTCAGACCTCCGTGAGGCGGGGGGTTCTGAGTGGGTGCTGCTGACAGGACTTGCTACTCGTTTCTTAGCTGAGGTAAGCCACTGTGGTGAACTTTCTGTTTTAAAGGATCCTTATCTTTCACAGGCAACAGGCCTCCTGTGATTTGCTTCTAGATTACGCCTAATTGGGCAGGAAGATGTGCCGAGCGCATGCAAGCTCAGTGCCCTAGTGTTTTTATTTTTACTTTGTCTCTTCAGTTCTGGGGCTCAAAGCTGATGCCTTACTGAGCCTAAGCAGGGGACTCTAGGCAGGTGCTCTGCTGTGGCAGCAAATGCATCATTCAAGTTCTGCAATAATTCCAAAGGAAATGATAAAAAGAAACACCATCACCAACACAGACACACTCACACTGAGGCCCATCCAAGGAAGAGGCTTAATCAAACCCGACACATAAATATGACCTAGAGATGCAGGCCCATCATCCCAGCTACTCTGCTAACAGAGGCAGGAAATTGAAAGTTCAACGCAAGGTGGATAAGTTAGTAAGAACTTGTCTCAAAATAAAAAAATGAAAAGAGGGCTAGGGTGTCGCTCAGTGGTAGAGCACCTGCCTAGAGTCTCCCAGTGAGGGACTGGGGTGTGGCTCAGTAGTAGAGCACCTGCCTAGAATCCCCCAGTGAGGGGCTGGGGTGTGGCTCAGGGGTAGAGCACCTGCCTAGAATCCCCCAGTGAGGGGTCGGGGTGTGGCTTAGCATGTGCAAAGCCCTAGGTTTGATCCACAGTACCACAGAGGCACACTCCTGCCTGCATGCCTGGGAGCTCTGCATGGTTCTCCACCCAAGGATCAAACATATCAAGACCAGCTGTGCCGAGATGCTTTTTCCTGACACCAGTAACTGAGAGCACTGAAGGTCTGAACAGACACGCTTCCAGCAACAATCGGGGCTGAGTTCTGATTCCCCTCCTGTGTGGGAGACACCCAGAGGAGTGTGTGGTGTGTACAAATGTCACCCATATGGCTGTCGCTGTCACCTATCCCGAGGGTGGGGCAGACGGCAGCTGAGGATTGGAGCTGCTTTGGGAATCAGTGTGGGCGTCCACCAGGGACAAAACTGCCAAGCCTGGAGCTACTGGAGCATTGGTGACATCAACAAAACTGTAGTGCAATGGGTGAATCTGCCGCTATGGGATGCACCCCGACACCTGGCCTTGGCTGCTCAAATGTCAGTATTAAAACGGGTTAACAAAACAAGAGAGACAGGCACAGAAAACACTGCCATTATTGAATTTACAAACCACTAATGAAATTTTCATTTCAAGATAAAAACAAAACAAACCCAAAACAACAAAAGTGTGCCTCCCTGTCTCAGGGCTGGAGACAGCTTTGACAGTGAACTGCCAGCAAGCCTGAGGACCTGAGTTCAGACCCCCAGCACCCGAGCGCTCCAGCAACCCCAGCGCTGCAGAGGTGGAAGTGTCTCAGGGCCTGCCTGCCGCCAGCCAGTCTAGCCAAACACGCAGCTTCCCCGAGCAGCAAAAGACCCTGTCTCAAAAAACAGGATGGAGTGATAAAATGATACTGGGAGTCACCCTCTGACCCCAACACGTGCGTGCGCAAGCACACACGCACACACACAAATGGCTACAACTGCCTTGCTTTCTGAACTCACTCTGCAGCACCACTCTACCCCAAAACTTACAGCATCTTGCCCTGTCCATGAGACTGTTTCTTTACTAATTAATTAGCTTTGCATTCCGGTGGGAAATTCCCTTCCCTCCTCTCCGCCCCAGTCCCTCGACCTCCCTCTCCCCTCCCCTTGCACCCCCTCCCTTTCTTCCTTGAGAAAGGCAGACCTCCCATGGGCACTGACCGACCTTGGCATACCAAGGAGGACTAGGAGCCTCTTCTTCTATGGAGGCCAGACAAGACGCTCCAGGTAGGGGAAAGGGACCCGAGGGCAGGCAGCAGAGTCAGAGGCAGCCCTGCTCCCGCTGTGAGAGGTCCCTCAGGAATTCCATGCTGTGCCTTTGTTACTTTGGATGCTCTTGGGTTGGTGGTGTAGACACTGTTTCTTTTGGGGCCCCCTTCCGTCAAAAACAACAGGACACGGGCCCCCAACCCCAACTGCTCAGCTGGTCCGCTGGCAGGCTTTGCTGAAGTAGGACAGACGTGGCGTCCACTTGCCGGTTTACCAGACGCACACTGGTTCTGAGCTCATGCTCATGAAACACACCTCAAGTCAAATACCCACAGTCAAATACACACGGCCGGCCCAGGTAGATGGCTCAGCCGGTGCTCGCCACACAAGCGTAAGACCTGAGTTCAATTCTTAGAGTCACATTAAACAGACAAACAAACCTAGGTGTGAGCGATTACAACGGCAGCACCGAGGAGGCAGGGGAGGGATGTGCCTGAGCCTCTGCAGCCTAGACATGGAGATTCGGTGAAACGCCCTGGCCTCCATACACGAGCATACACTCAGAACACGCGCGCGCCCACACACACGCGCACACACACACAGCACAGGGCACTCCGAACCCATCTATAGGGCTGCAGGCCTCAGTGATAAATCACTCCCCTGCCAGCAAAGGCACCATGCTCAGACATGCACCCACTACACTTGGCAGCTCCCGAGAGACAGATTTCCAGGCACCGCACACACCAACATCATTTCAAAAATACCAGCCTTGGCCCCTGTTCAGGAGATGAGCAGGAACCCTGTGGGCTGGATCTGCCCACGGTGGGGAGACAGAAAGCCTTTTATTCGAGAGACCTGAGCAGGGCTGCGGAGAGATCGGTGACAGCCAGACACAGTGGCGCACGCTGTAACCCCAGCACTCGGGGACGCAGAGGCAGGCAGATCTCTGCGAGTTTGAGGTCAGCCTGGTCTATAAGGCCAGTCCAGTACAGCCAGGGCTACACCGAGAAACCCTGTCTCCAAAACCCAAAAAGCGAGCAAGCCCGGCACCCACATGAAGAGCCAGGCGTGGTTTCCCGTGGCTGCAACCCCAGTGTCACGGGGGTGGAGACAGGCGGATGGATCACCGAGGCTCGCTGGCTGCCAACATGAGACTCTTCCTCAGGGAACGAGGTGGAGGCCGACAGGGCAGGGCAGCCAGCGGGCGCTTCCTGTGCCTGTGCACGAGCACCCCCACCCCAACAACACATGGAGGGAGCGAGCGGGCGCCAATCTGGCAGGGGTGGCTGGGACCCGGACCCTGCGAAGAGGACTGCAGGTTGAGGTGTTTCCAGAACCTGAGTTTCAGAAAGGAGCCCCAGGGAGGCGGAGAGAGTGGTCATCTGTCAATTTCCCAGACCCAGGAATGCTTTTAATGACCCATCGACTGAACAACTGTCCCTCCAGGCAACCTGGCTTTTTCTTCTCTCTCTCTCTATTTCAGTGATGGGGCCGGGACCTAGAGTGCTGCATCAACAAAGCAGCGATCTTCACACCCAGCTACATTCACACCCTTTTACACTTCGAAAGGACACAGCTTTCAGGTTTGCGAAGGGAAGGTCGAATTCCCTCTCACACCCCAATAGAATGAGTCACTGTTGGTGCTCACAGTTACCCAGGACGGAATCTACAACGTGTCTAGACCCTGGGATGGCAGACGCACAGAGCAAGTACTCCAGACCTGGGAATGACCCCGGCAAAAGCTAGACACTCAGAGTGCTTGTAAATGCAGACCGACACACCTGACCGTGAACCCTGTCAAAGGGACGCTGGTGAGAGATAGAAGCAATTACTGAAGAGAAAAAGAAACTGCTGGGAAGGAAGTAATTAGCATGGCTTTCTTCTGCTACAGAAGATGTTAAGGTCCTGGACCGCTAGGGTGACAGAGGACTGGAATAATGGGGGTTTGGAGGAGGGTAAGGTAGGCCTGGCGCTAAAATGCCACGGGGCAGTGTGCTAGGAGCTGGGCCAAGCTAGGGACAGACCTGTGTTTCCCACCATGTACGGGCTAAACTGAGGCACAACACTTCCTGCCCTGCTACCACTTAGAAAGCCTCAGCCTGCCTCCAGACATGTCCTTAAAGCATGGACTGCCCCTCCATCCCCAAGGCAGCCCCCAGGCCCACACACCTCCAGCCTCCCAGGCAGGGGGACAGCCCATCAGCTGTTCCAGGTCCAGGTCAAGGGAGGGAATCCTGGCGCCCTGTCCTGCGGAGCCAAGGCAGGAGTATGCCTGGGATTGTCCAGACCAGCAAGGATCAGAAGTGACCTCGGGTGTTCTGACTAACTGGAATCAGGGTTGAGGGCGATGGGTGAGGAGGGATGGTTCTGGCTGTGTGGGGTCTCATGATGGTTTAGGCCAGGAAAGGGAAGGGTCGGAGGTCACCCAGGGAGCCCAGACCGGTAAAGATGGAGACCACTCCAGCCATCAGGGGTCAGAGGTGATCTCTGGAGGCTTGGGCAGGGTGAGATAAGGGTTAGGGGTGGCCCTGGGGCTTTCAAGTTATGTAAAATCGGGGTAACTGCTTCTTGCTGGTGTAAGACAGGGTCAAGAGTGACCCCACGTATTGAGGCCAGTTGGGATCAGGGATTCAGAAAGTAAGGGATGGAGATCATAGACAACCAGCTCCAACCTGGGAGAAGTGGAAGGCC